CACACATATATATATATATATATATATATATATATATATATATATATATATATATATATATAAGCTCGATACCATAGAGCCCCCCACCCCCACACACATAACAAATCTCAATTTAACCCCTGCATAAGACAATAAATACGATTTATATTCCGCTTTTACTCAAAACTTACTTTAAATCACCATTAAGTTTTTGTAATAACTTCCGATTGCTGTGTGCGTTTTGGCTATCGTTCAGGAACCGGTATCGAAGTCAAGGTATCGATATCGATAATTTTTGAACGATACCCAGCCCTAGCCGTGACGCGTCAGTCTTTTAACGTGAAGTTTTAAAGTGTGAACCTGTCAGGGGGTTAAACTATAAAACCTCTTTATTTTGGCCTCAAAGCTTGACAGTAAAGCAAGATGTCTTGACTACTAAATCTTGTGGTGGTCGTGGTTTTTGTATGGAGCAGATGTGTCCGTAAACTCTATAGGGTATTCTTGCTCTTTCATTGTATTTTGTATATTCCAATAAAAAAAAAATATATAAAAAAACCTCTAGGGTCTTCTACCCGGGTGCTCGTTGCCCTGGCCTGCACATATGTTAGTAATAAATGTTTGCACCATCGTTTACCGTGGTCTCAATGAGGTTCAGTGCGTTTGAAGTGGGTACAGTGAATCATCACGGCTCCAAAGAGCTCATCATTATGAATGTTCAAGATTACTCAGATCTACACAATGGCTGGGTGTTTATTTATTTATTTAAATATTTGATATAGCTGCAATATTATTTTTTTGCTGTTAAAGTACCAACATTGTGAATATTGTAATGATTTAATGCACTTTTATTTGGCCACCTTAAGATTTTTGAGTTGCTCAGTTGCAGATATCTTAAATGCTTAATATACATTTTTAATGTTTTAATACCTATTTTAAAAGCATTTGATTTAATTTCTGTGAATTAGTTATTTAAAATAGATTATACCCAATAATCGGTTTAAATTACTAATTCTAAACTGGTTTCTTTGTCTTTTTTTTATTTTGCAACTGCGTCTGACTTTTTGATCAAAATGATGGCTCCTTTGTTAAAAAAATAAAATCCTTTTTAGCAATTTCTTTCACTAATTTTCACATATTAGATGGTATGCATACATTTATTGGAACATAAATAAGGGAAAGAGGGGGAAGGAAAGGGGGAAAAAAACAATATACGGTCATGGCCAAAAGTTTTGGCAGTGACATAAATTTGATAAAAATCATAACATAATCAAAACATAGAGACTCTGATGTTAATGTGTCTGCATTCAAGCATTTCAGTGGGCTTAAACAGATCACCCTTTACAGCAGATTTAGTTCACAAACAACTGACAGCTTTGACCTAAATATGATTTTCAGTTACAATAATTAATCCTAAAATTCGACATTAGTAACTTACTTTTAACAGCATCAGTTGTGCGCGCTCTCGCATGATCTCCCGGTTCTTTCTTGTGAGTTCAGGTCACTGGAGACTCGCACTAAACGGTTCATTCGAATCAGTGAGTTGTCGACTCGAGAACAGCTGCAATCAGATCATTCCAATACGTGAATGAATCGTTTGGTGCGATTTGTGAACCGATTTAAAGAGTTCATTGAAAAGAATCAGTTCGTTCTCGAATCAGACACCGCTTTTGCGTCTTGGAGCACATGATATATTATAAGGAGTAGCGATAAGTTTTATGAAATGTAGTGAAGTAAAAAGTATGATCTTATGCTTTGGAATGTAGTGAAGTAAAAGTTACTCAAAATAAAACTATTCCAGTAAAGTACAGATACTTGAAAAATTTACTTAAGTACAGTAACGAAGTAAAACTACTTCATTACTGTCCACCACTCACTATCATACTAATTAGATTGTAAGAGCAGACTCATTGCTATAAAAAGAGGGATGAAGCACTCCCAATTATTGTGTTCTTGTTAGCAATGGTTACCTCCAAAAAACACGTGCAGCCATCATCGCTTTGCATCAAAATGGCCTCACATGCATGGCCTCTCTCTCTCTCTCTCTCATATCATATATCATCATATCATATATCTCATATATCATATCATATCATATTGGTTGTCATGTATGTTTTGTTGACCTCGGTTTTTTTGTATTTGATTTGTCACCTGTAAATAGTATATCTGTTTGCATAATAATAATAAAAAAATATTTCACAAATTTTAATCATTAATATTGAAGAAAATAAGTTAAGAGACTCGAGCTGAATCTAAAGTGGTTTCTTGCTCTCCTTATGGGTGCTACAGCTTTAAAAACACACTCATGTCAGTCATGTGGCACCTCTCTATGATTCCTGATTGCTAAGTGCCTGTGGATTTGAGCTGCAGTCATGTGGAATAGGATGAAAGGTGTTCTGAAGAGCAGGTGAAGGCAGTTTACCTTTCAACAGCAGCCAGTGGCTCAGAGATGTGGAAACTATGAGACACATCTGTGGCATTTCAGCTTGATGTCAAATTAAACTTGACCGACACTCTCTCCATCTGTGGGTTTTTTGCCTCTTCTCATACTCCTTCTTTTTTCCTCTCGCAGCACTCCTGAGAGCATTGGGCAGCAGCCTGTGGTCACATGATGCCATTTACAGTGAACCTGATTGGCCCGTCCCCCTGGGGATTCAGAATTTCTGGAGGGCGAGACTTCAAGAAGGCCATAACAGTTTCCAAGGTAAGTTTTCATCCCCGTTAACCAAAGTACCAGTCCAGAACATGGTTCATCTCCTTGTTTTTTGCATCAGTGATTAAAGCAATGATGCCTCATACCTAACTTTTCTCATTACACACTGTATTGCACTCTGTCTCCCTGACTACTTCAACCAAACAAGACATGTATAATTAAAGAGGAAGTTCCTGGTTATTGTATTTTATTGCAGATGTTTTTTAGAATAATAGAAAATATGAATATGAACTTACGCAACAATGTGTAAAAGTTAGGCTTAAGCACAGCATGAATCACTAGGTTCCCTTTGGAATAATAAAAATACATACATAACCATGGATCTTACAAGAAAGAAAAAATCTCAAACTCATCCAAAGGATTATCGCCAACAACTTGTAAACATCGGAGAAAGTTTTCCGTCATACACCCCAATAAACTTTACAAAATCAATCCGGTGGTTGGTGGAGAAACACCAGAGAAACTGGGACCAAATTATCTACACTCCACACCAGAATGATCCGTACATTTTTGTTAATGGATGAAGATCCTTCTTGAACTCCAATAGGATTCTTTACTTTTCAGTTGACCCTTATTAAAACCAGTGAAACCAGGTTTAGAAATTTTATCAAAAATAAAGAAAAAAACATCTTATAAAGGTCTATATATTTAATTTCTTTTTCTTTTTCACACCATGACTATAGCTATGGTAACTGGTATGGCGTTAAACTATAAACAAACAAAAAAATGTGTTGGGTTCACACTTATTTAGCGTGAGTCTGGTCTCTCAGAACAGGTTAATCAATTGCTTTTTTTGAGTTCAAGCTTTCAACACTCAGGCAGTTGTGAAAGACTGTTTTTCAGCTGAGAAGTTCAGAATCTGCTGTACTCCTGCCACCTAGTCTGGAACCCATTTATTTTTGTTTTTCATGGGCTTTGGGACAATTTTCAAAATTAACCAAAACAGTTCCTCAAGTAAAAAAGAAAAGTTTATTTCATGCAAACAAATTCCATGTTGTTATCCAGAAATACACCATAGTGTTTCTAATTAAAGGCAGCTAATGGAACCTTTCCTTTTAGATCCTGGTCACATCTGCATTGTAACCCAGAATTCCATTGCATTTAAACATAAACCACTTTAGAACACTGAGATTTTCAAATTTATGGCTTTCATTATCCTTGTTGTTTCCCATTACCACAATGTTTCAAATGCACTATTAAAGGGACAGTTCACCAAAAAAAAGAAAGAAAATTCTGTCATTTACTCAAGATTTTTTATCATTGAAACACAATTGAAGCTAATCTTAATGAAACCTGAGAGATGTCTTTCTCTCCATTTGAAAGTCTGCAGCCAAAACTTTGATGCTTTAAAAAGTTCATAAAGACGAAAGACTCCAGGAATTCTGAAGAGCTTTGATTGCTTTATTTGATGAACCCATTTGATTTAGTATTTTATTCACACTCAAACATTAGTCAGTGCACATTTATTCAGTTCATCAAATATAGTAAATGTGATCTCAAATGTGCATGATGCAGTTTTATTTTTTGCGTGAACTACCCTTTAGGGACTTCACTGTCTCAGACTTCTATGCTTGTGTTGTTCCCTCAACAGCCAATATGTGAGGAAAATGAGTGCTTAATGGTGTCCATGCAGTGCAGGAGACCTTTGGTATTGAGAGGGGTTGTAAGAAACACAGAATAGAACGGCATGGGTGTTTTTTTTTTTCACAGGGCTCGAAAGGGCCATTTGGAGAGACGGGGCAGAGTGTAGTAGCAGGAGTTTGGCATGGGCACAAATCTTGTGCTCCCCTCTTTTTATTGCCTTTGTCTGATCTCACCCTTCCAGACTCTCCATGATTCCTCAAGCTTTACGTACATGTTTTGACACTGTTGCGTGAGACAAAGCTCAGAAACTATCTACCTAGATATTCCTATAAAAATACTTTACGCCGGTGAGAGTTACTCTATAATTCAAATTCTAGAGGGAAGTATGAGGGTAAGTGCTCATCTGTCTCTCAGGTCTTCACCACAGTCACACACAGAGGGGAAGGATAGTCGCACTCCACATGAAGCGAGGCGTACTCTGATTACATGAGACGCGCTCCATTGTGTGTCTCTGTAGCAACAGTTAATTGGCACTCGAGCAGGCCCTCAGACATGGCACCTCTGCCCCTTCGCTTTCAGCTAACATCAACAACAACAACAGCTGACTGGCAGTCTGCAGGGCCTCTCTGTGCCGGGCTGTTTGTGTGTTTTGAGTCGAGCTGAGGTGTTGCTTTCCTCTTCTCCTACTAATGAGGTTGTGGCCTTATTGACTATTGAGTCTTGAGGGGATTCAAAGCTTTGCTCAACTAACAGCAGCCCCTGTCTAGTTGTTTTTAAGATTCCTGCCAACTTTAACACTACTATAAGTAATCCATTGGTGGGTTGATGCCGTAAGAAAAATCTGTGGTGTTATTAAAACATTGCTCTGTTTGACAGCAAAATTGACTCAACCAAGTTTGGGGCAGGAGTTTTCAACCAAATGACAGATGAGAAAGTGTTCAGAAAACCTGTTTAGAAACAGTCATATGTTTTGGCAATTAAATCCGCACACTGTATAACAAGTCGGAATACAAATATAGTAAAGAGAGGCAATAAACATTACTAATAATTCAACAGACCATATCTATGTTGGCAAGCTTACATAATGTTTCTGTGAAGTTTAAATGAGCAGAACTGGTTAAACAATGTTCCATTTATTACAGAAAACTAGGGGTGCTCCGATCGGGATTTTTGAGGCCGATCACAGAAAGCGGTATCTACCGATACCGATCACCGATACTGATCTTTTTAAAGCCTTCTTTTTATAATTTATAACTACATAGTGATACTTCAATCAGGATTTTTAGACTCTGCTACAGTTAATTCGAAGATATAATCTAAATATTTATTATGAATCATAACCAGTTATAATTCGTCATAAATATTCCCCTTTTTAGAGCTAATAAATAATAATAAACGTTACAACATCATTCAATGCTTTTTACTTTTGCATTTAATTCTAGATTTATGTATTAAGTTGCTCAAGCAAAGTGGCAAAACATTTAAACTACTTTTCTTACATTATCACAAACTTACCATTGACCGAAATAGTCAGCTCTACTGCCTTTCCTTTTGCATTGAAACCTTTATTACAAGCAATCCTGCGGTTCATAAAGAACTTTGTTTTCCTACCTCTACCCTACCATCTATTATTGCCTTCTTTATCTAAAAGTGCTCTTTTCCAACAAGCCATATGTTGACTGTGAAAGACAGTATACTTTAATTATATGCATTTATGGTGCAATTGCTACATTTTCGTTTTCATATATACTGCAAACAATGTGCTGTCACTTTAGTTCAGCGCGTGTATCACAGCAAAAATAGACTCTGTGCGGAAACTATCTCTGCACTGCTGCAGACGCACTGCTCCTGAACGCACTGCCGTGTGCAGTGTGAATACTTTAATCCGTTAACATGAGCGTGGATTTCCGCACCACATACCACGCACTGCAAACAGAGTAATGTGAACCTGGCATTATGTGTGTGCACTGCAAGTGTGCACGGTCTACAGGAGAGCGCGCGAGCGCTGAATGGTTAAACACTGGCAAGAATTAAAAAGTAATGCAAAAACTTTACTTGTATAAACTTTAGTGACTATGTGACTGCCTCGATTGTGCAAGTGACAATTCCTGTGTCAACTGTGCAGCGTGCAGCTTGCTTATAGATAGACGCGATGTGTGGTGATTTGAAGCCATTTGCGCATTTTGAGAGTGAAAGAGAGAGCGTGCGCGGTGATTCACTCACGCTATTTGTGAAATTACATCTCACACAAGGTTTTCAAATTACTTTGTTATTTAATGAAGAAATATGAAGGTACCTCACCTTCAGCATTATAATTATTTCACCCGCGCCGGACAGAGACTGAGACGGTGCCACTGCATGTCGTGCCAAACCTCTCACGGCAGCGTCATCAAGTTGAGATCGTTTTTTTGAGATCGGCCTTTTAGAGACTGCCGATCGATCACCCCAACGTGATTATCGGCCGATAATGATCGGTAGCCGATCGATCGGAGCACCCCTACTATCTTGAAGTAGCAAAACATTTTTGTAATTTGTGATGTTTTTAATATTCATTAAACAATACCTGTTGACTAAAATTTAAAGGGTTTTCTTCTTAATGGGGCGCAGACTGTACGTGACTGAGTTCTGATTGGTTGAGTGTTTTTGTCTAAAGGTGAATGCTGGCAGTAAGGCAGAGACGGCCTCTCTTCAGCTTGGTGACATCATCATGGAGATTAATGGACTCAATACTGGCGAGATGCTCAACGTAGAGGCACAAAACAAAATCAAGAGCTGCACGACTCTGCAACTTCTCGTAGAAAGGTGAGGGTGCCTTTATTTTCTTTATCTACATTGTCTTTCAGAGATGGATGCAAGTGCATTAGTACTGATCTAAAATGTCAGTGATGGTCATGAAATACAAGAATTGTGACTTTTTTCTATTTTGAAACATTTCACACAAGTTGAAAATAACTGCACTTTTAAAGAAAGTCAGTTCACTTTGTGGCCATATTTGCAATGCCTTTAGACAGCCATTTTTGCAAAACCATTTTCGGTCTACTTGTGGGGAACTATATACTAATGGGGAAATACTGAAATCCCAAAAACTTCTTGACAAACTCACATTTGAATAACATCTTTCAAGCCAACAATAACATCTGCCATGGATTTTCTAGTAAATATATATTTCAGGTTGATAAAGCCAATGCTTATGTTCATTCCTGAGTGCAGGTCTTGAGGCACTAACTGTTTCTATGGCATCCAGAGCTTCTCATGATACCTGTGATTACACAATGACTTTACCAATTGACCCTTCGCAGAGAGTTTGATTGACAGGCGATCTGACCAATCATAATGCAGAATCTGCCATTTTGTCTGACAAACAAACTAGACAGGAGAGTAGATTAACATCAGTGGACTTGAACTTGAAAAATGGTGTGTATTGACGTCTTTCCGCAATTAAAACAAAAAAACCTTCTGATGTTCATTCATGTTTATTTCATGCTATAACTACTAAAGAGGTAGGTGTAACGAATCGGCTCATGAGGAAATATGAATAATTAATCATAACTAGTTATAATTACTTATGAATATTTAGATCCGCTGTAGATATTTAGCTGACCTCTCAGGGTCAACTGTCTTGTCAATTCTAAGAACGTTAATTTCCTGGTTAAGGGAAATAACTTCCTTACTGTACAATTCTACAAAAGCTTGTAGCATAAATCTGCATGATTAAGTGACTCCAGTTATGGGAAAACCATGAACAATGTCAAGTGTGATACAAGTAAGGTTTTATTAACTACATAAACACTTAAACTAGTCTAACATACTACATAAACACATAAACTGGTCTAACATACACATACACACACACAGTTTGTATAGGAAAGGGTTAACGCTTAACCCTTTAAAGAGAAGCGAAAGTAAGAACATGAAGTTATTGAAACATTTGCATATTCAGCAGATCTACACCTGAGATACACACTCAATTAGATCATCCAAATACGAATTCATAGATACTAAACATGGTAGCGTTATATATATGTAAGTTGACAGGAGTGTGTTTCGATTATAAGCCTGGATAACAGTATACAATTTCAAAGACAAAATACATGATGACAATAATATACCCAATGACCTGAAGGATCATGTGTGTGCATTCAAAGAAAGGTTTTCCTATTAATTAATTAGCAAAGAAAAGTCCTTCCCTTGTGGATTTTCCTTATGGGCAAGGAAGCAATTTTCTTCACCTAAATTCCAGGAGGTCGTAAATGTATCAGGTGTCAGGGCTACCATGGAACCAGGGGCCTGTTCGGCTTCCTGGGGTGTTACAGAGTATTTGTTAAATCTAGCTTGCAAAATATATATTGTGTGTTTGAGTGGTCCAGACGCTACATAGGGATGATTGGTTCATGTGCCGCTTGAACTGAGGCACTACAGCGATCTGTCACAACTCGTTAAAGAGCCACAAAATGCTATTTATTGTTTGAATTTCTTAAAACATTCCAAAATTTGAAAGCTGAGACTTTGTTTGATACCAGAAGTAACCTGATCTGTCTTGTCTGTTGTTGTGTTGTCAGTGCCGTCTTTGCTCCACGATTAATTTTTCACTGCGTGAGAACATGTGTAGTGTGAGTCGCATGGCTTGTCAGACATAGCAAAAGTAACTAAAGGGGGCGGGTCTTTGCAAAGTTCAATTGGCGATTGGTTCTTTTATTTAGAAGGCGAGACTTATTCTGCCCTATTGTGTGTTGCACTTACTCCCGTTCAAAGTAATACGAGTCTTGTCTTGGTATGTGAAATGTCTTTGTTGAAATTCAGTAACTACTAAATGTTTAAGGGAGCTAGATATTTGATCCAAGTGAAGTGACGTGTGGCCAAGTATGGTGACCCATACTCGGAATTTGTGCTCTGCATTTAACCCATCCAAGTGCGCGCACACACACACACACACACACACACAGTGAACACACACCCAGAGCAGTGGGCAGCCATATTGCTGCGGCGCCCGGGAAGCAGTTGGGGGTGCAGTGCCTTGCTCAAGGGTCTCGCCTCAGTCATGGTATTGAGGGTGGAAGAGAGTGCTGTACATTCACTCCCCCCACCTACAATCCCTGCCGGGGGTGAGACTCGAACCCGCAACCTTCAGGTTACAAGTCCGACTCTATCCATTAGGCCACGACTGCCCCTGTGCGGTTGTGCTGCTCCTACAGTAGCTTTTTTAAAATGAAAGAACTCCCTCTAAAAGACCTTGAGGTCCGATGAACCCAAAACCAGTCCAATTTTACAGGATTTAGTTGATTTAGATCAATTAGTCAACTACCTGTTCAGTCATCTCATTGGCTAGTTGAAGCCTGTGATTTTGCTCATCTTTATATGTCAGCACAAGTAAACGCACTGTTCTGGCCAGAACGGTACCTTTGCTCTCTCACACACATGCACTTTGAGCCCTGTGTCCATGTGAGTAAATTTTTCCCTTCTGACCTAATTTCTCTGACCAGGCCAGAAACAACACTGGGCCCACAATGGCACTCTAGCTCTGTGTGTGTGTGTGTGTGTGTGTGTGTACTGTAGCCCACAGTATTGGAGGAAGAGGGTGTGTGTCTGCCCTCTTCTAAGTTCATATTAGACTGAGTTATGCAAGTATCCTGCTGTCTACTTGACCCTTTAGTTTTCAGGACAATCCATCTACAAATAGAAGTGCCTACAGTATGTAATAGAGGAGGGATGCTGACTTGTGTCTAATTCAGTTTGAAGAATTTGAAGAATTATTGGCATGAATGAGAGTTTCCTTAAGCTGTTTTGTAAAGTGTTTCCTCTTACAAAACGGTGGCAGCCAGATAGTATATAAAACCTGGGTACAGTTGCATTAACCTAGCCAGTATGTTAAGAATTTGTCTAAAGGACTAGTGTGACCAACTAGCAGTTAGGGATAATCAGTCATTTTTTTCAGATTCAAAGTAGACCAATCTACCTTTTTGTAACTTAAAGGGGTCATATGATGTTGCTAAAAAGAACATTATTTTGTGTATTTGGTGTAATGAAATGTTTATGCGGTTTAAGGTAAAAAAAAACACATTATTTTCCACATACTGTACATTATTGTTTCTCCTCTATGCCCCGCCTTTCTGAAACGCATCGATTTTTACAAAGCTCATCGGTCTGAAAAGCAAAGTGTGCTGTGATTGGCCAGCTATCCAGTGCGTTATGATTGGCCGAATACCTCAAGCATGTGACGGAAATGTTACGTCCCTTACCATATTGTGATGATGCCCTGTCAGGCCGGAGCGATGATTCAAAAACATGAAAACCCATTATAAACGAGGCATTCGTTGCATCCAGTGGGGACATAATTATGGATTATAATAACTTATACTGTCTTTTTACGCGTTGCATCGCACCGCGTAAACCTAAAACCATGTCTGCATTTGTGATCGGAGAAATGACAAACAACAAGCCCTACTCTACATTGCCCAAAAAACTCTCTTTAAATATAAAAAATATAAAAACTCTTACAAGCTGTGAGTCAGAACAGCCGGCATTGTAGTCTACTTTACCAGGATCAGGAAACGGTCCTCCATAAAATGTGCTGCACACATCTGAATATTTGGGTTGAACTGTTCTGGAACAGTGTTGTACACTGTACAACTTAACCACTGATTTCTAGTCGTGTCCATTTTTGGAAAGCCTAACGAAGTAGTTTCGCATTCACAACGAAACACCGCGTCACACACGGCGGCCTAGAGTGAGCGGCGGCGGCCTAGAGTGAGCAGAGGCCGGGGGCTAGAGTGAGGGGAGCTATAGTGAGGAACGGCCGGAGGGCTAGAGTGAGCAGAGGCGGCGGGCTTGAGAACGGTGCGGCCGGCAGATTCGACGAAGGAGGCTTGCGGCAACCACATGTGAAGACCCCGGGCTGGATTCCGCTTCGTCCACGGTGAAAGCCGATCCGGTGATCCACAGCGTGAAGTTGATGTATTTCCTCAGCAACCAGCATGGATCAGCTCCAGGCATGACGAAGCAGATATCGTCCTCTTTTGGAAGGACAAACAAATTAGTTTCTCTTTCACAACAAAACACACAGCGCCTTCACGATATGGCGGCGGCAGCAACAATACTACAGCGAGAATAAAAGTTATGCCTTCTTTCTTTGCTTGAACATTTGGGCGGCGTTATGCAAATCTTCCCAGATAGTGACGTAGGTATGTGGGGGCATTAGAATGAGCCGTTTTTAGGTAGGCGTGGCTGACTCTTAACTTTTATAAAGAATATCTTTTTGGATTTGAGACTTTAGTCTTTGCAACTTTACAGATGATCTTTATGCACCAAGAGCTTGTAACACTCCAAAGAGAAAGGAAAAATTGAAATCGCATCATATGACCCCTTTAAAGAAAAAAAAAAATAGATGACTAAAGTCTAAACAGTTTGTGCAACTGGCCACTGATTACCACTGAAGTGAATTTCAACATCTAATGCAAAATCTTCCAAGAAGAGTGTGAAGCTCCAAGTATACAAAGTATAGTTTTTTTACGCGTGTGTATGCACACAGCCAAACGCACAGCCCATCTACAGCTATCTAGTGCGCTATCAAATAGAAAAGTTTCATCCTTTTTTTGTGTGTGTTAGGGATGATCCGATCCGCCTTTTTCATCTCCGATACCGATTCCGATACCTAGGGTTCAGTATTGACCGATACCGATCCGATACCAGTGAAGTTTTTTTTTTCATTTAAATAAATGTAGAATTTATATATCTCTGTGTGTGGAACTGATAATCATTCTTTCACAATCTACTAAATAAAGACTACTTCATTACAAAGAAAAATA